ATAGCTTGAAACCTTGACCTTTTGTTTGAAGAAATAAACCTTCCTCAACCTCTTCATAAATGTATAAATGCCACATTTGCTCATTGAGATAACTAAATCATGTCATGTTTAGTCACTAGAAAAAATTAATATCAATTTTGATCACTCGAATTACTGAAACATGTCACAAAACCAAATATAACATTTACCCTTTAAAAACATAGGAGGTTTTGGCTCGTCTTTAACTCTATCAGTAAATATGGAGGTAGAAGGGTTCATATGGATCGTAGAAATAGAAGGTTCTCGATGTAGAATGAGATACGACATGGGGTTACAATATTAAAAAAAAATTCACAACCGAAGTTTCTTGGATTACCTCTCTTTCCATTAGGATTAGGGATGGCAATGCAACCCGGACCCGTGGGTACCCGGCCCGACCCAACCCGATCAAAGCGGGTAAAACCCGTGTTGACCGGGTTTGGGCCGGGTTCGGGTTTAAACCCGGTGCCTTGTTGAGCGGGTTGGGGCGGGTTCGGGTTTGGGGGTACCCGGCCCGTGGATACCCGGCCACACCTTATAAACCTAAGTGAACTCGACCCTAACCCTAATATATTCATTATTTCCCAATTCCCTCCCCCACTCCCAGACCCGCCGCACGTTCCCTCTCCCTCTGTGAAATCAGAATCGTGAGACTCTGGTCTCGCCGACTCACCTCCCTCCCTCAATCCTTCGCGCAGTGCCTCTAGGACTTGCCGGCGGCTTTCCTTTCACTCCTTCTGCCTGCAATTCCCCTTGCTCCGGCACTCTCTAAGTCCCGCACGGCCATCCCCCTGCTCCGCATCCGATTGTGGGAGTTGTCTCTGCCTCCGACCGCCGTTCAACCTGCTCGCCACTCTCCTAGTCGACTCGAACTCCGCCTCTCTCCGTCTGAGTTCTCCTCGCCGGCAATCTCAGATCCACACCTGACTAGATTCTCGATCCCTCCCTCGACGTTAACTTCGTCGGGGCCGTCTGCTTGAAGTGCTGCCATAGCGAGGTCGTAACCGGCTCAAACAATACCGGCAAGTAGTATCTCGGGCCGGCTACTCAATTTTTTGAACTGCTGGTGTTCTCATCCTTCAATGTCAATAATTGCTGGTGTTCTCATCCTTCAATGTAAGAAAAAAAAAGCAAGCCCTCAATGTCAATGATTGTTGCCGTTTGCTTTTTTGACTTTCATTCTCCTGACGAGGTCGAGAAGGAGGAGTTCAGGACCGATCATCACCGCTCTCTTCATCATGGTTCACAAAACCCACGGGTACCCATGAACCCGTGGGTACCCGTCGGGTTGGGTTGGGTTTGAGTTTTTCAAACCCGCCGGGTTTTACCCCGGGTTTTTTTTACGGATAAACCCACGGGTTTGGGTTCGGGTTTGGCAAAACCCGCCCCAACCCGACCCATTGCCATCCCTTTAGGATCGTTGGGATGGGTTATTGAAGTGGATTATTTTGGCCTAAATAACTAAGTCATTTGTAAAAGAAATTTCTATAAAATTACTCTATCCTAAGTTATTTGAGAATAATTCATAAAACGAAATAAGGTAAATAACATCGGTGTGTTATTTAATCCCTCTTTTCCTTCCCTTTTTGCACCCTTCTCTTCTCCTTTATTTTCCTCTGCTCTTACTCTCTTCTGAGTTTCTCTACTGGAATTGAGTAGACTTCCTCTATTCATCCTGTATTCGGCTTCTTTTCCTTCTAAGAATTTTTATAATGATAAAACTCTGAAATACTATATAGTGACAAAATACATTATTTGTAACACAAATACCAGAGACTTAAATAAATCATCCATCCAATTCCAAACCATCACACTTAAACTGTCCAAAAAAAAAACCCACCATTTTAACTCAATACATACACTGTGGTGGTCCAATTCGAGCACATGGCCATCTTAGTTACTCGATACATTAATAAGAAGATGCAATCCCATTTAAGATTAATTGTGACCATGATCATCTTGGTTCTGTTTAGTAGTTTGATAAGTAAAATGTGGTCCAATTAAGCAAATAGAACGTGCAATTTTGTCATTTCCCAATGTCATGACAAAGCACATGGCATACAATCCTGTTTCTGCTTATTGTTGCAGATACTGCGGTCAAGGATCAAAGGGAAAACAATTAACTATTCCTCAAGTTGTAACGTGATGTAGATATAAACTAATTGGACAATAGATTAATTAGATAATTAAGCCCGTGCAAGCATGGATTATTATCAGTCATTTTTCAATGTCATGAAAAAGCTAGCTACCTACCTAGGTTAAATCATCAGCTCAATCTGCTAGTAAATCTGGTGGTATTAATATATGAGTTAATTGGGCTTTTGTTAGTTTATATCTAAACGGTGTTTTTATTCACTTTATATTAAAAATGTAATTATTACGATTAGATCGGATCTCACTAGTATCTTTGAATTTGTAAGAGAAACAGCATATGCAAACTGTTCAAAATTTGTGACACAATCGTGGCACACCTCTCGACCTAATGTTATTAAATGTTGAATCCATCTAACGAAGGACACCATTTTTCAATGTCATATTGTGATACTGTCTACAACTTGTCTGCTTCTTGGTGCGGATACTGCGGTCAAGAACTGAAGGTAAAATCATTAACTATTTCACAAGTTGTAACATAATGCATATATAAATAATTAATGATAACATATACCGATAATTAGGCATGTTTAAGTTTGGATTATTATCATAGTTATTTTGCAATGTGACGACAATGCTAGCTAACTAGGTTAAATAATGTCATCGATCTCCTCGCGAATCTGGTGGTACTAATCTATGAGTTAATTGTGATATTATTAGTTTATATCTCAGTGGTGTCCTAGACTTTTTATTTGCTTTGTATTGAAAACATAATTGTTACAATCAGATCGGATTTCAACGATGCTCTCGATTAATAAGAGATAAAGCATGTACTAGTTGTTCAAACTTTGTGGCACACTCCACCACAGAGGACGTCGTAGCACACTCCTCGGCGTAATGTTATTAGATATAAATCCTAGAAAATATATTAAAGGACACCATTCCTAGATGTCACTTGGCATACCACAACTATTGTCTGCTTATTGGTGCACATATTGCAGTCAAGGACTAAAGGCAAAATCATTAACTATTTTACAAGTTGTAAAGTATTGTAAATATAAATTAATTAATAAGAACGTAAATTAATAGATAATTACTTACGTGCAAGTGTGGATTATTATCATAGTTAGTTTTCAATGTCATGACAAAGCTAGCTAAATCCTGAATTCTATCAACCAAAAGACAATATTTCTTAGTGTAACATGGCAATACTACATCCGTTGTCTGCTTCGTGGTGCAGACACTGCGGTCAAAAAGGCAAAACTATTAACTATCTTGCAAGTTGTAACGTAATGTAAATATAAATTAACAATAATGTAGATAGATAATTAACCCGTTGAAAGTGTGGATGATTATCATAGTTATTTTTCAAAATCCATGACACACTCCACTAAGTAGGATCGTAGCACACTCGATGTAATGCCAGAGTATTACATTCAATGAACTTTGTGTGAGATTTCAGTGTATGATAACCATTTGTTCTGCACTGTTCAAATGAAACTACTTGCTATTCTAATGGATGATAAAATTGTTGTGTACCATTCAGATGAAATTAGTAGAAGAACGATAAAACATGAAATTCTAAATATTAGAGTTGTACCTTCAAATCTTGAAGACTTGAACCACTCAACCATACAAGAATCTGAATTTTTTCGGGTTTATCAACGATGTTTGTTTGGCGGCTCAAAGAGATTTCCGCGTCTAGGCTACATCTGGTTTGGGGGATAAAGATAGATCCGCGTTTGATTTGGCAGATCAAAGAGGGTTCTGTGTCTGGGAAAATCCTTGTACCGAGAAGCCAATCGATACAAGGTGTCTGACAGATCGAGATAATCGCTGAGAAGAGGACACGAAGTTTGTGGTCCTTGTCTTGAGAGGAGGATTGTTACGAAACAATCAAAGTACCACATCGGTAATACAAGGGAAGGAACCTTTGCATATTAGTGTCCACCTAGACCAATTAATATGAGGCCTTTTGGGGAGGATATCCAAGAGTAAAACCGTGCTGGCTTGGCCCAAAGTGGACAATATCATAATTGAGTCGTCCGATTTCGACAATTTGGTTACCTTGCTGAAGGCTTTTGGTGAGGATATCCAAGAGTAAAACCGTGCTGGCTTGGCCCAAAGTGGACAATATCATAATTGAGTCGTCCGATTTCAACAATTTGGTTATCTTGCTGAAGGCTAGAGAGAGAGAGAGCGCTTCAATCAATTATGCTACTCTGACCATATATTGTTTTCAAGCTTCTACTTGCCTGTGAAGCCAACTTGATTCACATTAGAGTCTTCCTAATCTCAGGATCAACTTCCTATTGTACCCAGCTATGAGGGTTTTTTTATCCAGTCCCGTTCTAACTGAACATAATAGGACCAGCTTTTGATTGCCCACAGGAATCCCACTATCTTTAATTACTCTTTTTAGTACTCCTTGAACTAATCACTCATTGTTTTCACGCATTAAGCTGCAAAAAAAGAGAAGAAGTAGTGGTTGCGGCGTGTCTAGGCACTTAAGAGAAGGCCGAGTACCATGATTTTGTTCCTGCTTTAGGACCAGTGAAATGAGTTTTTTTGTTGGAGTTGCGATGCTGCCATTGATGAAATCGAGTTTGTTCTTTGCTCCAAAGACATTGTACATCACCTTTCTCCAGCCATTGTAGTGGGTGGTGGTAATTATCATGGATTTGACATTGGATCTGCATTGTAGTCGTGCTTGTAGAGCAGCTTCTTCATCTTCCATTGTATATTAGTAGTGGCTAGTAATCATACTCTGATATCATAACAACATAGTTGCAAAGAAAACCCTAGTAACCTGGGTTGTTCTCATTCATTACAAGATTCTGATACCATAACGTGGATGTGTAATGAATTTAAAATGGAATGTAAATTAACGAAAAGCAAAACACCATTCATTTAAATGCAAGACAAATTCAGACCTTACATGGGAAAAAAAAATTAGTAAAGAAACATGGAAATACAAAGGCCATGTTGTACGTGACATGCACCCGACAAGACGGGGATGGAGAGCTCACTGAACGTAGTGCTTATTGGCTCACAGACTCGCAGTCCACCCACATTATTATTATTATCATACTAGCTTGGATACAAAAGGAAAAACAAGTACGCAGTACCAATTCTACCAGTACTAAAGCTGTAATTAGCCAATCAACTAGCTATAGCTAGCTAGCTAAGGAGTAAGGACTCTCTCAGGCAGTGGCTCCGGCAATCTGGCCGGCCTTGGCCACATTAGGTCGACCACCGATCTGATCGTACAACTCCTCCAACTCCCTGTTCTGCTCGGCTATCCTCTCCCTCAGCTGCCCAATCAACTCTTCCGGACTCAGACTCTCACCATTACTCCCCTTGAACTCCTCCAACGACTCCATAATCGCCTTGATCTCCTCGTCCTTGCGAGCCATCGTCTCGTCGTACGACTCGTAAGGGAAGTACCTGAAGTACTCCATACCAGCTGGCGGGCTTAACGCCACCACAAACGGGTTGTCCAGTTGGGAAACCCTCACGTTGCGGTTGGTAGCGTTGTGGTAGAAACACACGAGGTTGTCCGTGGCGGAGGACGGGAAGGAAGGGTAGAAGAGGGTGGACGTCAGATCGTTGGGGTCGTCTCTCATCTCGGGTTCGCCGGCGATGACGAGATGCTCCCTTTGTGGGACGACCATCAGGTAGCGGTTGTTGTAAGGGCATCGGAGGTGGACGGCCGGTGCGTGGGAGGTTGACGGGATGACCTCCAGCTTGAGGAATGGGCTGACGGGGTCCAAGTCGCGGAAGAAGCCGAAGGCTAGGTAGTTGAAGGTGTCACCGAACTCCTCGGTGCTCCACAGGAAGTGCATGTAGTTGGGTGTGTTTGGAGATTGGGATTGGAGCATCACATACTGTGGGAGCTCCGACGCCTTCTCCGTCATCGTGGCTAGCTTAGATTTTTTTTTTTTTTTTTTGTCTTTGTTTTTGTTTCTTCTTTCTTTCTTTCTTTCTCTTCGTCGGGATCTAGATCGATCTAGCTGACGAAATGTTATATGATGCGGGTAGCTTGAAAAGCTTGGTCGCCACGGTATATATAGAGAATGTTAAAATTTGGAAGTAGGTGGCGGAAGTTGACTGTGAAAAATGACGAGATACAATAAACAATCGCCCCATAATAGAATAACCAAAAGTACATTTTTCATTAGAAATTTTCTCGAATTATGTGTGTGTGTGGGGGGGGGGGGGGGGGGGGGGGGGGGGGGGGGGGACTACAGCAAAGCAAGGTAAAGAGTAAGTTCCGTCGACGAAACGGACTGTAAACTAGCAACTTATGAACGTTGTTACACTGATGTAGGTACTATAAGAAAGAAAATCATTATATTGCAACTTAGGAATGCTATAAACTGAAAAGCAGGCAGCAAAGAAAGTGAAGGGTGTTTCTGTGGGGATCCATCGCTCACTTCATATGCAAATGCAACACACTGCAGCAGTTGCAATCAGAGGTCAACCATCTCATACTCACCAATCTGCTGCCAATGGTAAGCAAGTACAGGCTAGTCAAATAAGGATTGGTAGTTTGCCTTGTGTAGGTTTCTCATTTAACTCCTCTTTATTTTCGCTTTTTTAATTATGATTGTTTCTAAATTTAATTTTTGTGTGATTCATAATCTTATTACTCGAAAGAAGATTGATATAGCCTAAATCTATAGACGTCTTCCGTACCTGTTTGTCCAAAAAACAAGAGTTTGCTGTGTTTACAAATTTTCAAGTCTTGCAGTGGGAGTCTTCAATTTCCAGAGTCAGAATTAACATATGGCATGCCAGTAATCATTTTTTTCTAGATGGATAGATATTGAACAAAGTTGTTCTAAGTTTGCGTTACCCTTAACGCATCATTGTGATATTTGACATTTGACTAAACAAAAGAGATTATCATTTTCTGTTAGCACCTTTACATTTTTATGTATACTTTATCCACTTCAAGTAGATATTTGGAGATCTACCCTTGACCACTATTTTTAGAGATGGTTATTCTTATTTTCTCATCATTATTATTACCAGATGTTCCTTTTAGAACAAAACACAAATTTTTTGTCCCGATTAATATATATTAATTATTAATTAATATATAAAAGCCTAACATGAGAGTTACTATTCATTAGTGACTCTCACACTTCTCCAAGTGCAAGTGAGAAAGTTTCAAACCCTTCTTTTAACTCACTCTTCCTTTTACAACCTTTGTATTTAGTTATTGTTCGCTAGGTTTTCGTCTATGGTTTTTTGCACAAATCATCGTTTTTGTGTTTTATTATTGTTCGTTAGGTTTTCGTCTATAACTTTTTGCACAAATCATCATCTTTGTGTTTAGTTATTGTTCGCTAGATTTTCGTCTATGGATTTTTGCTTTTTGTATAAACATCGCCTTTGCCCACCATTTTGCAGCTCATCTCGAAATACTGTCGGCGGAATCCTAGGAGTTACGATTCATTAGTGGCTCTCACACTCCTCCAAGTGCAAGTGGGGAAGTTCCAAACCCTTATTTTACCTCACTCTCCATTTTACAACATTTGTGTTTAGTTATTGTTCGCTAGGTTTCCGTTTATGGCTTGTTGCACAAATTAAATCATCGCCTTTGTGTTTAGTTATTGTTCGCTAGATTTTCGTCTATGTGTTTTTTCTTTTTTCACAAATCATCGCCTTTGCCTATCATTTTGCAGCTCATCTAGAAATACTGTCGGCGGAATCCTAAGTTTTTCCCCACCACCGTTTTCCAAGGCCGCTACCGAGAGTTTTGTATCGGGACCGCGTTTGATCCTCTTTAGTGTTTTCCCCCCCTTTTTGTTGAGCATGATCACAATTAAATCCAAACACATGCGTATCCTAACTTGTACACAAATCATCGCCTTTGCCCATCATTATGCAACCCATCTCGAAATACTGTCCGCGGAACCCTAAGTTGTTCCCCACTATCGTTTCCCAAGGCCGTTACCACGAGTTTTGTATCGGGACCGAGTTTCATCCTCTTTAGTGTTTTTGCTCTCTTTTTCATTTTTTGTTGAGAATGATCACAATTGAATCCAATGCCGCTATCGAAAATCCATACCATATCTACTCAATGTTTGCGTATTTTGTATCGGGACCGAGTTTCATTCGCTTTAATGTTTTTCTCCTTCACTTTGTCCTTTTTGTTGGGGTCATGAGCGAGTTTTATCCGCTTTAGTTTTTTTTCCCTTTTGGTTGAGAGTTACAATTGAGTCCAAACGCATGGGTATACAACCTAATTCGACCCGACCAAAATGATTTGAACCCGATTTTACAGATTTTTCGGCGGGAGCGAGTTTTATGTGTTTTTATAATTGGTGTGTTGTGTCAGGTGTGAATTTTTCCAAAACTCGGTCCAAACAGGTCAAAGCGAGTTGAACCTGGTGTTGACGAATTTTGAGTCGGTAGCGAGTTTTAGCTTTATTGTTTTTCATTTTGCTTTTTCATTTTGTTTGAGAAAGACAATTGAACCGAATTCCATGGGTATCCAATCTAATTTGAAAACATCCAGTGGAGCTGCTTCATTCTACTAAAGTTATAGCAGGATCAACTATTAGCCATACATATATTAACGTTGGCGGCATGAAAGAAGTTTGAACATAAATAATCTATTCGAGGACCCTTCTACTTTATGTAAGTATATCGACCATATGCTATTGTAAATAACAAACCTATGAAAAAAATGATTAAGAATGAAATAAGATTACTTTCACTTTTGGTTCAACATTAAAACTATTACTCTTTAAAATATTTATTTTTCTGATATCCGAAGCGATAGTGAGCGGGCTTTTGCTAGTTTAAACCATAAGATAAGCCAAAGTCCAGAGTTTCACGAATTTTATTCTTCACATGGTATTGCTCACGAGATGAATTGTGTCTATACAGTTCAAACAAAATTATAGAGTTAAAGAAAAAAGAAAAAATATGGAGTAATGGGTGGATTAACGCCTCACTATCCCGCATTGATAGAGCGTTTGTCTCGGCCAGTTTTGATAGCTTGTTCCCTGATTGTACTCTGGTTGCCTTGGATCGGGTTGAATCCGATCATAATCCTTTGCTGATTAAATGGGGTGATAATAGTCGCATTCGTAGACCGTGGAAGTTCGAGAACATGTGGACTAAAGATGTTAGATTTTTCCAAGGGGTGGAAGATTGGTGTAGAATTCCAGTTCACGGCAGAGGGGATGTGTTCCGATGGTCACGGAGGCTAGCGATTTTGAAAGGAAACATTAAAGTCTGGAACCGCAATGTTTCTGGGAACATCAACACGCGCATTGACAGTTTGCTCAGTAGTATCAAAAGGTGGGACGATGTGGAGGAAACCAGAGATCTTTCGGCGGAGGAAAAGGCTGATCGGGTCAGCTTGAGTCTTGATCGCAGCAATGTCTTATATTTGCAGGAAATCTCGTGGAGGCAGAAGTCCAGAGAGCTGTGGTTGAAAGTGGGGGAGAAGAATTCAGGATATTTTCACCGGATGGCAAACTACCGTCGCAAACTAAACCTCATTGATAGGATTTTCATTAATGGAGTGGCAGTGGAAGGTCGGGAGGAACTAGGGGATGCTATTGCCTCCTACTATGAGACCTGTGTTCAAAGAGCACACTTTAAAAAGGCCTTTCCCAGGTGACTACTTTGCTTGGAGGGTTGATGAGGCTCTGGGGAGTGTTCTTATCCAACCCTTTTCGGAGAAGGAGATTTGGGAGACGATCAGCTCGAGCGACGGGACTAAGGCCCCGGGTCCGGATGGCTTCACGCTCGAGTTCTATAAAAGGTGCTGGATGTTTATTAAGAAGGAAATCCTGGACGCGTTTAATGATTTCCATGGGACAGGGTATTTGCCGAAGTCCATCACTCATTCTTTTATTTGTCTTGTTCCGAAAGTGGATGCAGTGGAGAGCATAAAGGATCTGCGACCAATTTGTCTCATGAGCAGTTTCAATAAAATTATTAGCAAGGTATTGATGAACAGGATGAGGAATGCTCTTCCTGGTATTGTCTCTCCCAATCAGCATGCATCGGTCAGGGGCAGACATATTTCTGAGGCTACTCTTATAGCCAATGAACTCGTGGACAGCAGACGCAAGAGCAGAAGACCGGGGCTTATGTTCAAATTAGATATCGAAAAGGCGTTTGATAACGTGAGCTGGAGTTGCCTGTTTAACGTGTTGTCAAGGCTGGGTTTTCCGAGACAGTGGCAGCAGTGGATCAAGGCCACCATGTGTTCTCCAATGGCCTCGGTGCTTGTGAATGGCGAGTCTCACGGATTTTTCAAACCCGAGAAGGGCGTCAGGCAAGGTGACCCTTTATCCCCGGGTCTTTTTGTTTTGGTTATGGACATTCTTTCTTTCATGATCGGGAAGGTTAAGGAGTCAGGTGGTATCACTGGTTTCTCCATGGATGAGCAGCAGGGTAGGGGCGAGGTCACTCACCTCCTATTTGCCGACGACTCTCTCATCTTTTGCGAAGCTACTGCTGATCAGGTCATCACTATCCTTGCTGTTCTTGTTTGTTTTCAGGCAGTAACGGGGTTAAAAATTAACTTGGATAAGTCTGTTATGTTCACGGTTGGTGACGTCCATGAGCCCGGATACCTTGCTGGCATTATTGGTTGTAAGTGGAGTAATGACCCAACCAAATACTTGGGACTGCCTTTGGGGGACAGACCGAATGGGGCCTCTATTTGGAACCCTGTCATCGAGAAGTACCAAGATCGGCTACAAGGTTGGAAGAACAAGCATTTATCATTCGGTGCTAGATTAATTCTCAACTCTTCCACTCTTAACAGTATGCCGGTGTATCATTTCTCCTTGCTGAAAGCTCCAAAATCGACGGTAGAGAGGCTTGAAAGGATCCAGAGGAGGTTTTTGTGGTGTGGCTCGGATGATAATGATAAATTCCATCTTGTGAGATGGGATTTGTGCAAGGCTGACAAGAAAAAGGGTGGCATTGGTGCTTTTGATCTTCAGAGTTTTAATAATGCTCTCCTTGGGAAGTGGATTTGGAGGTTCGCAGTGGAGAGGGACAGTTGGTGGAGGCAGTTAATTGCCATAAAGTATTCCGATCAGGTGTCGGAATGGAAAACGAGGAAACTGAATTGTGGGTTTGGTAGCTCGGTTTGGGCGAACATTTCTCGTGCTGGTGAGGTGTTCTGGAAAGGGGCCTGCATTGAATCGGGCTCGGGTGCTAATGTTTCATTTTGGCAGGATGTTTGGATTCCCGGAGAGCGACTTGCCGACTCTTTTCCAAGGATCGCTGCAGCCGCGGGTTCCCCGTTGGCTAAGATTTCTGACATTGTGACCTCCATTGGTGAGAATGGTTTGTGTGAAATTCCTCTTAATGTCAATCTTCGTGGGGGGGGGGGGGGCTGAGAGGGAAAGGGTGACACTTATTGAGACTGTTTTGGCTTAACTCGCATAGAATTATGTGTAGCCCTTGTAGGGTGGTGTGGTCTCCGGATCCGGATCTCTCCTTTTCTGTGAAAACTCTTTACAGGTTCCAGGTGGAGAACAGGTTCCCGGGGGTGGCGGATTTCCCTTGTAACATTGTTTGGAGAGGCTTCATTCCCACAAAGGTTTGCGGCTTCATTTGGCTCGTCTGGCACAAGAGAATCCTCACTCAAGACAATCTGCAGCGACGTGGCGTCGCGCTGGCAAGCATGTGTGTCCTTTGTTGCTGCAGCGAAGAGAGTTTAAACCATTTGCTTACGGGTTGCAGCTACGCCAAAGAAGTTTGGAGGTCTGTGTTGCTCACGGAAACCAACCACAGGATCCCGGTGGGGGATATTGTCGACGCCATTAACAACTGGCCTATGGGATCGATGGAGTGCATCAGCGGGGCCTTCACTCAATGTGTCCTCCACGCTGTCTGCTGGTCGGTCTGGAAAGAAAGGAACCAGAGGATCTTCAATCAAGAGTACTGCCCGACGCATGTTGTTGCAGGAAAAGTAATCAAAGCCACGCTTGAGTGGATCGGAGCTACTGACAAAGTTGATAAGCATAGGTGTGTTGAGTGGTATAGAAGCTAGTGTTCTGCCAGGAGCGCAGATTTTGTTACTGTTGCTGATGGCGGTGCCTAGCCTCGGGTGTGTCTCGCTGGGTCGCCGCGCTCTTACCGGAGGCTGCTTCTGGGTCTTCTGGGTTCTGCTCTTGGTGAATGTTAGGGTTGTTGGATGGGCTTTGATCGGTCCTCTTTTGCTCCTCTTTTGGTCTTTCTGACCTGCTGTTCTTTTCTTTCTTTTTTCCTCTTTCTTTGCTACTGTTCTCTTTGCTGTTCCGCTCCACTCCTTGTGGCGCTGCTGACTCTGCAATGCTTTCATTAATATAGTTCATCACTTTCATCAAAAAATGTCACCAAAATTTTGAAATATCAATCAGGTTTTCCTTTGATCTGTTGGAGAGATTTTTTTTTTTTTCTGCATGCTGCCTCTTTTAATAATAGTAACCCAACCTCAATTCTCCAAGACAAAACACCATTTGAAAATTTATCAAAAGTATCATTTTGTCACACGAGTGATCTCAAAGTGCTTTGTTGTTTGACTTCTTATCTGCACTGCATCCTAGATCATGCTCGAAACAATTGCACTATAACACAAAAAGGAAACGAAAATATCTTTGGCTTTCAGAAAATGGCTCAATATAATTAAGCAAATCATAACTAACACAGCAGCCCACAACCCTAGGATGTGAAAAGAAATTAATTTAAGGATCGATTAGGCTTGGTGATATCACTAAAATTGCCCCCTTAGTTGACTGAATCCTAATCCCTTAACCCATAACCCCACCAATCAACATAAGAACATACAATGCTACAAGGAGTATAATCAAATACAATACATCACTTAGCGTCTTGTTCTCCTTGTCCTTGGCCTTCATCTTCTCCTCGTGAGATTCCCAAGGGAAGTACTCAAAGTACTCCCCCTCCGTCGTCGGCACCGCCATGGCCACACCCGTGGCAGCCGAAATCGCAACCAATCTGTCCGTACCGCCGTGATGGAGTGCCACGACGGCGGGATGTTTGAATGAGAGGTTGAACATCGTGGACGAGGACACGTTAGGGTCGTCGACGGGGCGGTCGGCGGTGGCGGAGACGTACATGAGGTCTGTGTCCTTGTGCCGGACCACCTCCAAGTACTTGTTGTTGCAGGAGCAGAGGAGGTGGACGGCCCACGATGGGTTGGTAGCTGAAGGGACGACCTCCAGCTTCACGAACGGGCTCACTACCTCCAAATCGCGGATGGCGCCCATGGCTTTGTGGTAGCCGCCGCCGAACTCGTCGTCGTTCCAAAGGAATTGCAGGTAGTTTCGGTAGTTGGTACATCGACGCGATCGGAGCACCACGTACTTGGGCAATCGTCGGAACGCCTCAGCCATAGATGTTTCTTGATTTTCCCTAAGTCGTCTCTCTCGAAATCAAGTCTCGCAGTTTGGTGATCGGATGCTTGTGGGAAGTGAGCCTTGCTATTTAATTTTTTTCTTCATTCCAATAATCCATTCATAAGAACAAAAAAAATACATATTAGACGTTGACCATGGAAAAACCCAGTATTATTAGATGGGATAGTGGCCTAGTGGGATTAACGCGTTGCTACGATGGCAGCTGTGTGAGTGCGAGAAATTGGTTTCATTTTAAAAACAAGGAAAGAGCTGCAGCCTAGAGAGTCAATGTTTTGACTATCGGAACGCCTTGCTAATGTCTAATTAATGTATAGTAACAGATTTGCTTTATGTCTACGTTCACCCTAAAACCAGTTCTTAAGGACTAGCTCACATTTTGCTGACCAGCCTATCAAATTGGGGTGCTCAATTAGTACAATATTGTCCGTTTTGGGCCAAGCCCGCACGATTTTACTCTTGGGTGTCCTCCCCAAAAGTGTGAAAGCAAGTTTACTGCAAACTGACAGCTTTTATTCATTGATTGAGACTGATCTTTATACAAAAGACTCTCAACAGAAAGTCTCTAAACTCGGGTTCTTCAAACGGCTATCAATCCCAACCCCTGAGGAGTAGCTAAGATCCTCAACCAATCTGAAACTAACCCTACAACGGCTAACTGACTACTGCTAACATGACACAAACAATAAGGACTAAACTGAAACAAACCAAACGACACAGCTTCAACTTAAATGAACGACAGACACAACTTCTCCTTCTCCAGTTCGGATTCGGATTCAGCAAAGCAGAATCTTCAACAGCCTCCCCTGAACTGAAGCATATTTGATCAGCTTCAGTTCATCAATCTTCGGTCTTCAATTCATCACCATCAACCAGTCCAAGCCTGCTGCGCAGCAACTAGAAGGTTTCTAACTTCAATGTCTTTGTCATTATGTCTGCTACTTGCTCACCAGTCCTGCAATGTTCCAACTTAATCACTCCATTCCTGACCAGCTCCCTTAAGAAATGAAAACGCACATCTATGTGATTGCTTCGACCATGCATAACAGGATTCTTAGAAAGCTTAATAGCTGAGCTATTGTCACACATGATTTTAGTTGTTCCTGCTACACATTCCAGCCACCCCATCTGAGTTATGATCCTCTTGAGCCACACACATTGAGCTGCACAGAAGGCTGCAGCTACAAACTCTGCCTCGGTTGTTGAAAGGGTGACAACAGGCTGCTTCTTCGAGCTCCAAGAGATTGCACCTCCTGCAAGGAAGAAGGTGTAGCCACTGGTAGATTTTCTGTCATCTAGATCACCAGTATAGTCACTATCAGTGTATCCCAGCAACCAATCTCCTTCTTCTTGTCTTCTGTACAGACTTCCAAACTTCAGTGTGTCCTTTAGGTACCCTAGCACTCTTTTTGCTGCGAGCATATGTTGTCTTGTAGGTTTATCCATGTACCTGCTTAGCATACAGACTGCATACATAATGTCTGGTCTTGTAGCTGTTGCATACAGCAGGCTTCCAATAAGCTGTTTGTATTCAGTTGCATTAGCCATAATTCCATCTCCAGCTTTCGAGAGTTTAGTTCCTGGAGCTATGGGATTATGCACATAGTTGCATTCTGCTAAATGAAATCTTTCCAGCATTTCACTGACATACTTTTGCTGAGAAATAAATATACCAGAATCAGACTGAGTTACCTCCACTCCCAGAAAGAACTTCATCCTTCCCAGATCTGTCATTTCAAATTCTGCTTCCATGGACTCTTTAAACTCACTCAATAACTCAAGACTGGTGCTGGCATAGATTAGATCATCAACATACACACTAACCATTAGCAACTCCCCTTTCCTTTTCTTCACAAACAAAGTGTGTTCAAACTCACAACTTTCAAAACCAGTGTTGAGAAAGTGAGTCTCAACTCTACTGAACCATGCTCGAGGGGCCTGTTTTAGGCCATACAGAGCCTTCTGCAGTTTGTACACTTTTCCTTCTTCTCCAGGAATCTCAAAGCCTTGTGGCTGTTCAATATAGACTTCTTCTGCGAGTTCTCCCTGCAGAAAAGCACTCTTGACATCTAACTGATAAACAATCAGATTAAACTGTGCAGCAAGGGCTAAGAATGTTCTGATGGTATCCCATTGTGCTACTGGTGCAAATACTTCATCATAATCCACTCCATGTCATTGAGCATAGCCCTTTGCCACCAATCTAGCTTTAAATTTGTCTATGGTTCCATCCTCCTTCAGCTTGGTTCTGTATACCCATTTTACCCCAATTGGAGTTAATCCTGCGGGTCTGGCAACTAGAGTCCATGTGAGATTCCTCTTAAAAGCATCAATCTCCTGTTCCATAGCCTTCCTCCACCTTTCTTCAAGTACAGCTTCTTCAAATGTGGTTGGATCTCCCTTGACAGCAGCTAGAGCCCACCAGTCAGTCTCAGCAAACGTCAGGTTAGGCATTCCATGACAGTCAAATTCATCAAAATGTCTTGGAAACTTGCGAGTTCTTGGCCCTAGTTCATTGCCAATTGGAAGCCCCAAAGCATCAGTCGTGTTTTCCTCCTCTTCTTCTTCTGGTTCTGCAGCTGGTGTGACTGGTTCTGATGTTTCAGAACTTGTGTGTACTGGAGTGGTTTCAGTTCCTCCTTCAGTGGTGGTTTCTCCTTCCTCTTCATTGTCACTAGTCTCCTCCTCAGTACCACCAGAACCATCATTATCCTCTCCTTCTTCTCCCTCTTCTGAATCATGCCAGTCTTCTTCTCCTCCTTCCCATACCAGCTTGGTCAAGATAGGTTCTATCTCAGATCCCCAAATCCATCCTTCCTTCTCATTAAAGATCACATCTCGGCTAATGATGATCTTCTTTGTTTCTGGATTGAAGAGCTTGTAGGCCTTGGATTCCTTAGACATCCCCAGAAAGTTACACTTAACACTCTTATCATCCAGCTTCTTCCTCAAACTGTCATTCACATGAACATAGGCTACACAGCCAAAAACTTTGAAATGATTCACTGAAGGGGGTTTTCCAGTCCACCTTTCTTGAGGGGTTTTACCATCATTGGCTACAGTTGGACTCCTATTAAGAATGTGAGTAGCCCAATCTACAGCCTCAGGCCAGAAGGTTGAAGGAACCTTAGTGTCCTCTAGTGAACATCTAACCATGTTCATGACAGTCCTGTTTTTTCTTTCAGCAACTCCATTTTGCTAAGGAGTGAGAGCAGCTGTCAATTGTCTTCTGATGCCTGCTTCTTCACATAAATCTCGAAACTCATGAAGCAGAAACTCTCCTTCCCTATAAGTTCTAAGACAATCAATCTTTCTCCCAGTTTCATTCTCTACTTGTGCTTTAAATCTTCTGAAACAAGCTAAGGCTTCTGATTTTGCAGACAGAAAGTAAATCCACAGCTTTCTACTGAAATCATCAGTAAGGGTCATGATGTACCTTTTCCCTCCATTGGAAGCAGGAGTAATTGGACCACATAAGTCAGCATGCAGAAGTTGAAGTGGTTTTATGGCCCTCCAAGCTCCCTTCTTTGGAAACTTAGCTCTGCATTGTTTCCCAATCATACAGGTTCCACATACTCCAATCTCCCCAGTCAGCTTTGGAAGCCCTTGCACCAGTCTTTTCTGTTGCAACCTCATCAGATTGACTTTGCTGAGATGACCAAAACGTCTGTGCCACAGGTGCAGTGTGTCATGCTGATCAGCATCAGCTTGAAAGCAGTGATTTCCTTCTTCCATATGATGTCTGGCTTGCAGAACAAACATCCTGTTGGATTTCATGGATGTCTCTAGCAGCAGACCATGCTTCTCATGGTAGATCCTGCAACTTCCATTCTTGATTGTAAATGCAAGATTCTTTTCCTGCATCTATCCCACACTTAAGAGATTGGACTTTAAACTGGGTACATAGAAGACATTCTGAAACACCAGAGGGATTTTTCCAACAGTCATCTTTACAGAACCTTTCCCTTGCACATCCAGTTTGCTGCCATTGCCTAGTTTGACATCACTTTTGAAACTGGTATCAAGCTTAATGAACCAGCTCTTGTCTCCACACATATGATTGCTACAACCGCTGTCAAGAAACCACCACTCATCATTCTTCTTCATGATTGCTCCATTTGGAACCGTTTCTTCTGAGTAAGCCATCAACAGAACATCATCTTTAATGTCATTTGGACCCCAGCTCGAGTAATGAGCTTGCCATTCAGGGCATTCTCGACTGAAATGCCCCATCCTATGACATTTGAAACACTCAATCTCCTCTTCCTCCTCTCCCTTGATATCCAGTTCTTCCTCCTCTTCCTCTACCACCTCCAAACACTTGCAAGGCTTGCTCTTCACCATATAAGGATTTTGCAAACTTCTACTCATGCACAAGCAGAGAGCTTTGCAGAGCATCCATAGACATCTCAGCAATGTCCTTGGATTCTTCAATTGAACACACGATGTAATTGAATTTTTCAGTCAAGGTTCTGAGTACCTTCTCAACAATTTTGGAATCACTCATGTCCTCGCCACAATTTCTCATTGAATTTGCGATAACCATCACCCTGCTGAAATAGCTGGTCACTGTTTCCCCATCCTTCATTTGAAGCATCTCAAAGTTTCTTCGAAGCCCTTGCATATTGGCCTTTTGAACACGCTCGTTTCCTTGATATCGAATCTTCATAGAGTCCCACAGCTGCTTGGAGGTTGCCTTCTGAGTGATTGTCTTGAGAATGCTCTTGTCAATAGATCTAAAAAGGAAGTTCTTAGCATTCAAATCCTTCAGACGTGTTGCCTCCAGCGTCTTTGTCTGTGCTTCAGTCAGCTCAGAGTCTGCATTAGCTTCTTTGAACCCAGTCTCTACCACGATCCACAGTTCCTTGGATCTAAGCAGATTTTCCATTAGCATGCTCCAGTGATCATAATCCCCATCGAATTTGGGAATTCCTACTTGAGCAAAGCTATTATCACCACTCATTTTCTGCTTTCTCTGGATTTCACTCACCAATATGTGGAATCCTCACTTTCGCTCGTGTTTCCCCAAACCCAGAATCTTTCGCAATTTCACACAGCTCACACTCTCAATTGAACACGCTCTGGTTACAGCCTGCAATTGCTCTGATACCACTTTGTGAAAGCAAGTTTACTGCAAACTGACAGCTTTTATTCATTGATTGAGACTGATCTTTATACAAAAGACTCTCAACAGAAAGTCTCTAAACTCGGGTTCTTCAAACGGCTATCAATCCCAATCCCTGAGGAGTAGCTAAGATCCTCAACCAATCTAAAACTAACCCTACAACGGCTAACTGACTACTGCTAACATGACACAAACAATAAGGACAAAACTGAAACAAACCAAACGACACAGCTTCAACTTAAATGAACGACTGACACAACTTCTCCTTCTCCAGTTCGGATTCGGATTCAGCACAGCAGAATCTTCAACAAAAAGGCCTCGTATTAATGAGCTTGGTGAACACTAATATAGTTACCAGGCTCTGATACCACTTGTCGAACTGGGCCGCTCAATTAGTCTAATATCGTCCGCTTTGGGCCAAGCCCGCACTGTTTTACTCTTGGGTGTCCTCCCCAAAAGGCCTCGTACTAATTGGGCTAGGTGGACACTTATATACAAGGTTCATTACCTTGTATTTCCAATGTGGTACTTGGATTGTTCCATAACAATCCTGACCTCAAGACAAGGGCCACGAACTTCGTGTACTCATCTCAGCGATTATCTTGATATGCCAGACAACTTGTATCGATGGGCTTCTAGGTACAACGATTTTTCCCAAACGCGGATCTCTCCTAGATCCACCAAACAGACGCGAATCACCTTTGACCCGCCAGACAAACGCAGATCTCAAATCCCGAGGTCCAATAAATGAGAGTCCACCAAACTGAAATCCACCACCCTGTATCCGAACCAGGCTCTGATACCACTTGTCGAACCGGGCCGCTCAATTAGTAAGATATTGTCTGCTTTGGGCCAAGCCCGCACAGTTTTACTCTTGGGTGTCCTCCCCGAAAGGCCTCGTACTGAGCTTGATGAACACTAATATACAAGGGTTCCTTCCCTTGTATTTTGGATGTGATACTTGAATTGTCCCATAACACAGCCCGTTAATGATTACAAATACTATTTGATCATCAATCAAAGTCCACTATGGTGAAAACTTCTGTATACAGATTGCAACCTTCAGTGCAGCAGCGAAGAGGGTATTGCTTGTAGTATAAACACTGATGAATAAGGACTGTTCTAAAATCCAACTATCGGAATTTGAAATAACGACAACAAAAGATTATGTGTATAATTGAGGATTTTATCTTGGATATATCACAATAAATTGGTAATTTTAATTAATTTATGGGTGATGCCCAATGGGTATAATTGAGGATTTTATCTTGTATGTCTTCTAAGAGTCCTTTTAAGTAATTTGAAAGAGAAATTTTTATTTTCGACGCGGTAAATGAACTGTTGTCCTATCTGAGTAACTGATCTAAGTACATTATCGCTTTAGTTATTATTTTAGATAAATAAATCGTGGTCCTATCTAATTTATAAGTTTATTATTATGCTCATCTTGGTCCTCAAAATGATTTATTTGGTAAAATAAAATGTGGTCCTATTAAGCACGTGGCAAACAACCCGCCCGCTTCGAGGTATGCACCAGCTAATTAGATCAAGTATATTTTACTGTGATTATTATATTTAGGTTGGAAAGTTGATTTCACGATCCAGAAAACAATCAATGATTCATCGAGTAGTAACGTGATGCATGTGGAAATATAATTAAGATAAAGAACGAGTCCAAGTGCGCATAAATTATTATTATTGTCGTATGTCAATATATCTTGTCGGGGGAGAATCTTTTCAATCATCGGTAAAAATAATAATAGGGAAATGATAATCTACAAAATCTCTACTATGAAACTACAATAAAATTGAATCTAAGTCCGTTCATTTGAAACAAATTTCATTGTCAAAAATAATTCTCAAGAAAAGAAATAAGAGGGACAGTTTGGTAATTCTGCCCCTCTTTTTTTGTTACTGATACGGATGCCATAAAAAAGTAGACACATTTTTTAATCTTCTATTTTTCTAAACAGGATAATATTTCATTCGATTAACTCAAAAATTTGTAAAAATTATCCATAAATGACTTATTAAGTAAGATTCACACAATTATATCAATTTTGCTATACTTTGAGTAAAGAAAAATTAGCTCTTCAAAACTCATGTTGATTGTTGTATTATCATTGTAATATATGTCATATTATGATTTTACCACTATGGTAAGACTGATTGCACATCATACCACTATGATATCATATCATTTCTTAGTGTAATCCGTGATATTATAGTAGTATGATAACCTGCAAATTTTTTGTTCAAAAAATATTAAAATGGATATCATCTTGTAGCACACAAAAAATCTAATATTTCTACACAAAAATGTTTGAAATCCAAATGTAAATCGAATGAGATATCTCTCATTGAAGATTCATCGAACATTTGAAAAGTCCATTAAACGTCGCTTAGTGATCTGCCATCCCCCGAAAATCCGGTCAGCTCTCTCTCTAAACTCCTACTTTCGCTTCTTATTCTTCTCTATAAAGGTGGCTATTAGATCCTTTCTCTCCCAATCTCAACCATCCATTATGGTTTTGTAGTACTATAAAACTATATTGACTTGTACCATAACATAGGCCTTTTTTTTGTCTCAATCTGCTTCGTTATTTTGTTGCTTCTTCTTCCTTTTCCATTTCTCCATACTACTATGTTTTAATGTTTGGCCTGCCGTTCGAAATTTGAACTATGTGAGACTTTAAACTGATCCGGACAAAACTCCATCCTTATTACTATCCTGATTTGGGATAAAGTGGATGCTTAAACATCTTCTGTTGATAATTCCCTTCCTCCATTTCCTTCTATTTCTCCCATTTATGACTGATTTGCCCATAATATTTTTTACCCCCGGCCAATTCTCCTTTGTCCATAGCGCCAAGGTCCGCATTTTTCACACGTAACTTTGCAGTAATACATCCTTGTGATGATCTTGAATCTTCCCTTTCAGCTTCCATACCCGGTAGATCATGGTCATGGAGAGGCACATATTTGTTATCTTCTTAACTGGTTGATTATTTTTCTTTACCTTTCTGGTCCATACTACCACTTTACTACTGGTGAACGCACATTTTTTTTTATGACAAAATATTAGAGAGCAAATGTATGGATGGCGATTTTGCTTATATTCATGGTTACTTTATAATCCAATTCAATTAGGTTGGGTATGGAATCCAAATAAATGGTTGATGGGTAGAGTTTAATGGGTACCTATACCCATTTAGTTGGGTTGGGTTGGATTTTTAACAAATGGATTTGGGTTTGTATCTATGCCCAAATGCAAATTACAGTTTGGTACCTAAACTTAATATATACGCATATTTAGTACCTAAATTTGTATGTGTAGTTGAAACACCATCAAGTAATGGATATCCATATCAAACCCATACCCATTTAGATTATGGAAGCAATATCCATACATAAGCCAAACCCATTTACAAACCTCCAAACTCATATAAACCTCACCCATACCCTACCCTACCCATAATGAATGAGTCTACTTGGGTTTGGGCAAAATTACCCATGGATAAGTAAATTGTCATCCAAAGCAAATTATGTAACAAGATGAACGATCGTAGCTACCTTGTTGATTGTTACATTTGTTTTTTTTTAATATGGATGACCACTACTTATATTTTATTCTTCCTTGTTACAGTTGATGGAATTGCAATTAAGATGGTCACATTTGTTATTTTAACTTTGTTTTTGTCGTTAAACTATTGAATTGCCACAGCTAGCTCCCACTTACAGGCCACGAATATCCATCATAAATCAGCCTATAAAATATGCTAGAATCTATAAAATAAATAAAGAGGTACACAAATTCAACGAAAAATAAAAAATAAAGAGGTACACACATACCACCATCACCATATAGGTAGGCAAGAGTAAAGTGAATCCTTTATTTAATTCGACCATCAATACAAAGTTCAAACTCCCTCCCTCTCTCACAAAATGACACATATATGATGATATAGACACCCACAACTTTGCTTTTCCCAACTTCATCATCTTCAAAAACACCAGAAATTAATTGAAAAAAAGGTTAAGTAGCAGTTGTAGTAGTTCATCAGCGCACATACATAACCGAGATCCATACAATGCCTCCAGATCAATCAACTATAGACCGGCAGGCTGATCATGATCTCGCCATATGTAATGCCTTCTTATTATTCTTAATCAAGCACAAAGAAAACCCAAATAAAACCAAACACTTCATTAAGAACACAACAACTTAATTAATCACTTGCCGGCGGCTGATTTCAAGGCCGCAATCTCCTTGTCCTTAGCCTTGATCTGGGCATCCTTCTCATCAATCTCCTTGTACGCCGCGTCCAGCTGCGCGTTCTGCTCCGCTATATCCTTCCTCAGATCCGCCACTATAGCATCCGCGGTGAGGCTCTCACCGTCGCCGGCCTTCAGCTTCTGGATCTCCGCGTCCTTCTTCTTCATCTTGTCCTCGTACGACTCCCACGCCGCGAACTCGTAGCGGTGATACCCAGTGCCATCGTTGGTGTAGACACAGGCGACGTAGTTGATCTCGGCGCTGTAGTCCTTGTTGTAGAAAGTGCGGAGGTGGCGCTGGGTCTGCACGTGGAGGAACCCGACGGTGTTGGGCTCGCCGGCGGGGAAGATGGGCTGGAACAGGGTGGAGGTCGCCTTGGTCTTGTCCTCGTCGGCGGCGTCGGCGGTGGCGGAGATCCACGACACGCCGTACTTGCTGGTGAGCTGGAGGAACTTGTTGTTGTAAGAGCAGCGGAGGTGGATGAGGGTCGGGTCGGCGGTGGAGGCGACCACCTCGAGTTGCACGAACGGGTTGACCTCGTTAACGTCGCGCTTGCATCCCAGGTCCTTGTAGTACTCGCCGAACTCGTCGTTCCAGAGGTAATGAAGGTACTTCCCGTCGGACTTGGACTTCAGCACCACGTATTTGGGTAATCCGGCCACCGTCGTCATCGTTTCTTTTCTGGTTTGAGTTTTTTGCTTTCCTTTTTCTCTCTCTCTCTCTCTCTCTAAAGTGGGCTGGTTTTTTGGTGAGTTTTTCAGCGTCGGGACGCCGAATTTATTTATAGAGCAGCGGTAATTAATGCTATTGGCCTATCCTATCTATGGGCTATGGCCAACTTGCCATACCTTGGGGAGGCAATATTTGACTGCGATAAAAGGGCCGGGTTGGCTCAGTAGTGGGGTCGGATTCACGTGGCATAATTATGGAAACGGGGATGATTAGGGGAAATTTAACGCAATTGTCACTTAACTTGGTCCTACTAACGAAATGGTCACATAACTTTTGAATGTTTTTCACGAGGCTAATGCAAATTTATTTTGATAAGGAAATGGTTTTTTCGTCAACGTAAAATAAAAAGGGCATTGCTATTCGTCGCCCTAAAATACCTAATTCGTCGCCCTAATGTTTACTAAAATGACTAAAATATCCTTCTTAATTTATTGTCTTTCGTACCCGCCGTTGGAAGGGCCGGAAAGATTGAAAAGCCGATCCGGCGAGTTGGGACAGGTTTTAAACCCTTTCGACGCCTGGAAACCAAAAAAAGAAAAAAATCCCTCAAGAGAAATGGAAGCAATGGAGAGCATCCCTATCACCACGTTACTCATTTCATTTTCTCCCCGGCTAACTTTTTTGCTCTTTCCCCGGCTTCAAGAATTTCCCAAATCAAAACCAAAACTCAATATACAAAGGAATAAATAAAAAACAATCAGTACTCAAACGCGATTCGTTTGTCTGCTACCTGCGCAACAATATTAACTATCTCACAGCAACAAGACCCGTGCATAGACAGCAACTGTCGCCGCCGTTCATAGAGATAGAGAGAGAACGAACGAGGAGGTAGGCGGCGGCCTTCTTCTTCTTCGTCTTCTTTCTACTCCCTTGGGATCAACTCCGACAATGGAAGCAGAGCACCGACGACGGTAAGGTTGAGCTGGGTAGCTGTCGGAGAGAAGAATTCGACAGCGACAGTGTCCGGGTTGAGGTCGGCGGCGGCTTGGGAAGGGTAACAGATTGTTTGTTTAGGGGGCTGGCTAGAAAGTGAGATGAGAGGGTAAGAGTGTCAATTTGGTGCATTTTAGGGCGATAAAATTTAAAATTTAGGGCGACGAATAGCAATGCCCTTTTATTTGTCCTTAGTTTATTTATTTGTCTTTCAAACACTTAAAACAAAAACGAGCAGAGGGAAACCTAAACCTCGCAATCCCCAAGCCAAATTAGACCCCAGCCACCTACTTCGGTGCCACTTGAGAAGGGAGAAGAATCCGGCGAAGCTTCAGTCGGAAGAAGGAATCAGGCCACTCTCCTCAAACTGGCCTCTGTCGCCCTGCTATTATGCCGCCCACCTCCATTGTTATCATTCATAGAACAAATGAAGAGTAATAACTAATCATACCAAAAATGGGAATTACAATCACAAATCCGCCTCCCGCATCACCGTCGCCGTTGCTTTTGCAATCATGCTGGCCCGTCGCTGCTGCTTCAACAACGTGGCGGAGACGGTTGAATTGCAATTGGATTGAGGGTAAATATGTCAATTTGATACATTTTAGGGCTATAAAATTTGAATTTTACGGCGACGAATAACGATTCAGTTAATGAGTGTGTTACCAGCGTCATTGTCAAGTACCATTTATGCAGTCGATTATCAAGGACGTCTACATTCAAGGAGATTGCATCTGCATGGCCATATTCGTCGATGCCGAATGAAGAAATGCATGTTTAATTCGAGTGGTCATTAGTACTAGGATAAAATTATAGTGACGGTGTGAAATAAATTGAAAGTCGAGTGACCAAATAGAAACAATGCCTTCACTTCACTGATGGAGAGATTGGTGAGAAACAAAATATAATTAGGGGCATATAGGTTGGATTGAACTAGTTGGTGCCCGGCCTATTGGCCGGGATAATTTTAATTACCCTAATATGTTTAGTATTGCCACTCAACAAATTTAATTGTATTACTTTCTTAAGTTGATCTACTCTCTCTTTGATTTTCTTACAACTCATTTAAATATGGGGATTGCTATTCGTCGCTCTAAAAATCGTTATTCGTCGCCCTAATTATATTAAATTTACTCTAATGCTCTTAGTTTATTTTTTTGTTTTTCAAACACTTAAACTCTAAAATAAACTAAAAACAAACTAGTCGGGCTGAGCCGGCCACCTCATCGAAGGCCTAACCATCGTTATTATCACCATATGAAGAAGAAGAGCAGAAGGTAATCACATATTACTTTATTAAATAAATCACTCAATTTATTTAATTATAATTACATTGATAATCAATATTAATTAACAAAATAATACATAAGAGTGCTCAAACCCGCCTACACACGTCGTCGGCGGGATGAGGACAACCACCATGAAAAAGCTGCCTTCCTTCTTCTTCGCCCTCCTTCCTCCTGGTCGCCAGCAACCATGAAAAGCAGCGGTGGCGGGGAGCAATTCTTGCGGTAACAACTGTAATGTGGAGCGACTCCTGGCAGCAGCAGCGGTGGCGGGGAGCGAATCCAGCAGCAGGTCAACGCTACAGGAACAGTTCTTTGGGCGGCGGTTTTTCTCCGAGATGAGAGTCCAGTTTGGGATGGGGGACAGATTGTTTGCTAGGGTTTAGTTACGCTTTGAAGTTAGGGATATATGTGTCAATTTAGTGTGGTTTAGGGCGATTATTTTTGAATTTTAGGGCGACGATTAGCAATTCAGAATAAAAAACGGTAAATTACAATATTGGTCATTAGGATTACTAAAAAGTTTCATGTTTGGGCACTGAAAAATTTAATTTCATTTGTGGTCACTAGAATTAATCAAACAATCCAAATTTGGTCACTGTTCGTTACCTTCCGTTAGCTTCAGTTAACAACGTCAGATTTTTTTTGCTGAAGTGGCTAACAGAAGTACCTAATGAGCTAATTTTAACCCAAAAAAAAAAGCTCGATCTGCCACGTCATTAAAACCAGCCACATAAGATAACCAACTCATCCAACCATTGAACCGACCCTTCCTCTTCTTCAACCCTAGTTGACCAAACTAGAAAAATCTGAATCTCTCAAAGCCCAAATTAGATGGCAAACATCTTCTTCCCAAAAAAACACCACTCCACGCCAGCCAACGACGGCGTTTGCCATCCGACCGGGTCTTGAACGTAGGTCTTCTTCATAGTCCATAGAGCTGTATAGCGTTGGGACGGTGGATCAGGCCTGAGTGTCGTCGTTCAGAAGAATAGCGGCCATGATTTTACCCGAAACTTCCCCAATCGTCGTTCTCTTCTTGTTTTTGGCATCGGAGGCGGAGGAAGATGGACAAGGGCGGCTGGAGTCAGAGGGAGAAGGATAGTTGATGAGACCGCCACCAGTTCTACTTCCAATTATGCCTTGTGAAGATCGAGATTCGAGTTCTTCCCCTCTTTTCCATGAGACACGGGAAAAAATTGAAGTGAAATAGATTAGATATTTTTGTTATCCACGTCAGTAAAAAAACTGACGGGGTTAACGGAAGCTAACGGAGAGTGACCAAATTTGGACTGTTTGATTAATTCTAGTGACCACAAATGTAATTAAATATTTTTTTAGTGACCAAACATGAACCTTTTTAGTAATCTCAGTGATCGATCTTGTAATTTATCCAATAAAAAAACAAAGAATCAGAAAAACACCAGTTCATATCACAATCCAATCCTTCTGAACCCTCAACAATTTAGAACATATTTCCTTAAACTTTTGATATCCTTGTAACCTAAAGATGAGCCCTCAACCGCCCTCTTTTCAATCTTGGCAAAAGGAATCGCCACCGTACACAGCGGTTTGATTTATCGACATACAAACCATAGGGGCCGGTGCCGGTTTGCATGTCATCCCCGATATGCCGGGGGTGTTAACATAGGGTTTGTTTGTCGGGTGACCCCCCCCCCCCTCCCCCCCACCAGCGGTTTTCACTGAAACGCGGTGGGGTGGCGGTTTTCATCTGACATTTTGCCTATAAAAAGCAGCCCCCGGAAGCCTCAGCTCTTCACTCACTCTCTTTCTTCTTCATTAAAATTTTGTTTTGCTCCCTACTTTTTTAGAGTTTTTGCGATTAAAGGTAATTCGAAAGTTTGTTGTGTATTACTTTTTATGGTAATTTGTGATTTTTAAAAGTTTATCATTCAAACATTATTCATGTGTATGTCTTTCACAAATTTTATGGTATTAATTCAATTACGATTTTAATGGAGATGTCATTCTTAAAGTTCACACTTGGGTTACGGTCGAATGGTTACATGAAAGAGACTGGAAAGATGGTACTTTACGTCGGTGGTGATTTTCAGAAAGTGAAGGCCCTACGAGACCAAACCTTGAAGAGCTCTGTTAAATGTGTTATACGGTTACTTGCATGGATGACACGAGGAGAGTTGGTCGTATGGTGTATCGGTATCTAAACAGAGAAGGTGGGTCATTGTGGCAATGTGGCATGAGGAATTGCTCATAACCACTCAGGAGGTAGTTGATGACATGCTAGAATTTTTTAATCTTAATAACATTTCCAAAGCAGAGATGTTTGTTTACATCGAGGAGGTTGAAGGCGGTGGAGGTCATTCTATTGATTGCCAAATGTCTGGTATCCACAGTAGGGGTGGAGTATATGAAGATCATCCCTACCAAGGTTACCATGATTATCATTCCTACCATTAGTACCAAGAAGGAGGTGGACTCGTAGGGCCTTAACCGAGCCAAATGCTCCCAATCCTAAAATTGGATGATGAACATCGCCCCTCCAATCTTCTTCAACTCTTTCGGAGTTGTATTACACAGAGAATTTTAGATACGAGCTAGGCAAGCGGATGCCAAGCTCAGGTTCCCCATATCCTCCCTAGGACCAAGGAGGATCTTCAACCATGCATTGCTAATTAAGTTGTTGGATTTTTTTGGGAAGAACACTCCTCCGATCTTGCTGATGTGGTAATCACACGCATAAATTTTCTTGTCCCTCTCATCACTTTCCTCACTGAGGGAGATGCCATCATCATTAGGGTTGTCGTTCTTCTTGATCGCAACTACCAACCAAGTGATTGATACTAGGTTCTTCCATAGTGGTGGTTTCCCATCATCCGCAACGCCACCTTCAGCTTGTTTGGCACGAACAAGCCCAGAGCACTCTGTAGCAAACATTTCCAACCATTCAGACCATCGACTTGTGAAGTTGGTGGATGATCATCACACACACCACATCGCTATCGAGTTAGGATGGCGATGTCCTTCAATGTGATGATGCACTCTCCTTCACAAAAGTTGATGTTGTGTGCCTCTGATTGCCACCTCTCCGCCAATGCTGGGATGAGTTGACCGTTGATCTTTATGCGGCAAAGTGCCTGATCGAATCCAACCTTACCTTTTTTTAGATAAGGCAAGATAGGGTTGATATATGGGAGCGCATTCCATGTAGCTCTATAACAGACAATATGGTGTGCACTCTAGCAAAGAAATTACAACTATAAGTTTATGATTTATAAATACATAAATCTATATAACAAACAATTTATAATGAACATAATGAATACCATTTCAAATATATACACATAAATTGGTCATAAAAACATATTCAATTAACTAAAATGAATAGCATTTTAAAGATAAGCACATAAATCAATTACACCAACCAATTAAAATTAAAAAATGAATATCATAGATTTTTGAAAGATATACATACACATATACATAATCATAAATCCATTATACTATTTTATAAATCATATTGGTTGTTTTAAATGATTTATTCAAGTACACTCTTTATACTCTTAGGAAAGGTATGCATATCTATAGAGATGCAATCTTTTTAACTAGAAAAAGGGGATCTGAGAATCGCTTAGAACCCAATTTTCTCAGGTAATGGGAGGATCATGATGATCGCTTAAGACCCCATTTCCTTAGGCATGCATCTCTTTATAAAGACTCTAAGCAAGTGTCATATTGTATTAGCCCAAATCATTGAAAATAACCATTACGATTAACCATTAAAACTAAATTATTTTATAAACCACTAATCACGTTAAAAAAAAAGTTGAGGAATTATATGTACCGCCAAATCGTTCCAAACATCCCTTAAACGGTGGTTAGGTTGGTCGTAAAGAACACTTGCAACGTGATGTCCTTGATCAAGATAATACCTTTGATCGTAAATATCTAAATCCAGCCAAACCTATGATGGCATAACAAATAATTAAATTGATTAGTATATAGATTAATAAACAAGAATTATAAGAACAACAAAAAATAGCATAATGAGTACGTATCGATGGACAGTCATCTTAATAAACACCCTCTTGATGGTACCAATCTTAGTCCATTTTTTTAATGAAGGCGGACAGAGGTTTGACGAGTTTTGGTGGAAAAATCTCAAGAAATATTTTTTTGATGGTAGTTCGGATTTAGCAGCAACCAACATATCACTATTTCTTACGTTTTGGGTGGAGCGGGGGTTGGGTAGAGAGAAGATCTTAGAAAGAGAGAGAATGTTTGGTTTTGCTGTGAAGAAAATGGAGAGAAGAGGGGGTTTTATAGCCAAAACCCGTGGGGTGGGGGGCGGTTTAAGTGGGCTGGAAATTAAAAACCGTGGAAGCGGGGAGCGGTTTTTGAATTTAAAACAAAAATCGTGCCTATGGGGCGCACTTTCTGCGTGAAGGACGCGGATCGACCCACAGTGACGCGGATTGCTGAGCTGGCTGGCAGTCAGCCATCAGATTGTGGGGAGATCTGCCGGTTTATCTGACTACCACACAACCCGCGGATTTTGGCCTCAAAAAACACAAAGCGTGCCCCCCTGCGGTCTGCGTGTAAACCGTGTACGCCCTACGATATGTTGGAAAAGATGGTATTAATAGAATTATTTCGAAAATGGTGGTTTTGGAATTTTTTTATAGGGTGGAATTTTTGGAAAAAATCCAAACTATGAATCAAACGACGGTGAGCTGGTTGGATTGTCGCCGACAACCCCCTTATCAGATTGAATAAAAGGCCCGAGAGAGAGAGGCAAAAAGGGTTTCAAACCAGAGAGTGATTAGGGGTTCAAATTCTTTGCCTCGCTGTTAATTATGGTTGATGAGAAATTTTTTTCCTATTTATATATGTATGTGTAAATTAGGAAAATGTTATAGTCATTAAAAATCCATTTAACATAATAAAAACTTTATATTTTTACACTAATATAAGAATTAATAACATTTATAAATAATTCATACTATTATCTTAGATACAAACTGACGGTGTTTTGCTTTTTATGGACAGGTTGGGTGGGAACTTGGTTGGATTTTGACAAAAATCAATCCCAACCCAACCTGACAAATAAATAAAAAACCCACCCCTTACTCAAAAATTGGTTCTTTCTGTGCTATACAGTATGGTTCAGTTTTGGATGGCAGTGTTCATTTTGCCAAAAAGAGTGATAGTTGACATTGAGAAGATGTGTAGTGACTTTTTTGAGGAGTGGGCAAGGAGGGTAGGAAAAAAAAGTGGCTGCCTGGGAAAAGTTAACATTTCCTAAAAGAGAAGGTGGTTTGGGGTTAAGGGACTTGAAGAGCTGGAACCTTGCTTGTATAGTGAGGCACATATGGGACCTTCTAACTAAACAGGGGTCCCTATGGGTGGCCTGGATCTGGGAATACAGACTTCATGGGGAGGATTTTTTGTGCTTCAAATTGTAAGACTTGTTCATGGATTTGGCAGAAAGTGCTTAAAACTAGAAGTTTGGTTCAACACAAAATGTCCGTGCAAGATGGTCTGGGGTACTGGAATGGGAAGATACTAAACAAGTTCTCTACTAAACTGGCCTTGGAAGAATTAAGGCCTCAAGCTACTGCTGTCCCGTGGTTCAAACTTATATGGAAAGCTCCATTCATCCCTAAGAATCAGTTCTCAAGCTTGTTAATCATCAGGGAGTTCACTTCCACTTGTCACAAAATGATAGGATGGGGCTTTCAAGGGCTCACAGCCAGTGTCTACTGCTACTGCAGAGTTGAGTCTCATAATCACTTGTTTGTAGAATGTGAAAGGTATATACATATCTTTTCAACGAACTTTTCTCCAAATTTTCCAGAAGGCTTCCCTCAAATTCTTGGTTTGTTGAAATCCAATTGGCTAGGGATTCCTTTTCAACTACTTCGTCTCACTCAAGAGCAAGAAGAGTTATTTGGCAATCTTTGATCAGTAACATTTGGAGAGTTAGGTGTGCGGCGAGATTTCGTGGATCAGTCATGAGCTTGAACGAAGCTTGCAAGCAGATAAAGGATGAAGTGACAATTATTTGTACAGAAGATGAAATAGCAATTTTCTTTTGAGAATGGCATGTCTATCTAGCTCATGTTTCTTAGCTACTTTTACATAGGAATATAGTTAGTATATAGTGAGTTGATTCGTGTTACATCTTTCCTCTGTGGCTAGGGGTGTTGCCACAAGGGACTATTATTTTTTATGATAAAATAGATAACCAACTGTTCATAATAAAAAATTCAACACGAGATTTTACTCACTTTGACTAAATTGAGTTTCAACTTCAATTTTCATCCTATATTGCTGTTAGGTGTTGTTTAAAGCCATGTGAAGACGTGGTCCATCATTTTGGATATTAAACAGCTGTTATTGTTAAGGGATCCGATGTCAATAATAAAAAATAAACGTTATGTTGCACTTCTCTCCTAGTATTGATCAAGAAACTTTTTTTTTTTCAATGTCGTGATCCACGCTTGACATGTATATTTTGAATAGTGAGAAACAAAAGGTGGAGTTGAGTTAATATATATTTTGGTAACCGGATTAGGAGTTCGATTACAATCATTTTGCGGCTTAATTTGAAGTGGGGACCATATGGTTGAGAATAAAATAATTTTTAATTTATATATTTTTAATTAAATAATATTTATTTTATTTTAATTTTGAAATTTTGCACTAAGGGAATGTGATCATTGATTCTCTAAAATAAATATTCACTTTCTATATATTTCGAATTTGAAACTTTTGCAAAAAAAACAAGTTTATCGTGATTTGCAAAAACATGACAAAATAGCCTTTTATATTTTTAATAAAAGAATAGTTATACAAGTAATCCAATTTGATACCGTTCAGAAACCAAATGACATAGAGACAAAGACTGCATATAGGAGGACTGAACAAGATTTTAGAACCGTAAAGAACCTTTGGTAATAAGTACTTCTTTTAGATTATAGTTAACTCTTTTCCGCTCAAAGACAAAAGAAAAATGGCTCATTCAAGTTATTAGTCTCCTGTTTAGTGTTTAGAGATGTAAGAACTACGGATCTAGATGTACGTATACGTCTAAGGTTTGTAGATTGGGAATTGAGAGATGATTGGGAATTGAGAATATAATTAAGGATTTGGTGAGGGAAAGAAAAGAAGATTTGGGGAAGAAGGTAGAAATCAGTCTCCGAGGAGATGAAAAGGCAGACGGCTAGAGGAAGAATTTTGGGTTTAGGGAAAGAGAGATTAGATTTAGGGAATAATTGTTATGTGACTAAATTATATGTTTGGTCACTCAAATTACATAAATATTTCACGTTTGCCATCGAAATTACTTTTCTTTCATATTAGCCACTAATTTTACACTTCGTTTCACTATTAGTCACCGACCGTTAGTCTCCGTCAGACTGAATTAACGCTGTCATATTTTTTATGATGTGGCAAATGGAAATGTTGACTAGACCGTTAACTTAATGACCTGCCAATTTAAAAAAATTAAAAATAGAAAAAAATAATTAGACAAAAATCAAGGACCCCACCTTTCCCTTCTTCAACCTACCTTGACCGTCTTTTGCCTGCAGGCCTATGCCCCCGCCGTCGTCGTTCTATGGCCCTCTTCCTTAAATGCAGTAAAGGAAGAGGAAAAGAAACATGCTAGTCTTAATCTGCCGATCGTCCTCAGATCTTCCGGCATAGATGACAAGGAATCGAACAATCGCCAATCGTCTCAGATCTGCCGATCTATCACCTTCGCTGTGATTGACTCCAGATCCGCGACTCCCGTGGAGTTTAATTGTTTGTTGTAGAGAGAGAAAGAGAGGGGAGAGAAGGGCTAATAAATTAGTTTCCTTTTTTGATTCCTACCTACTTCCTTCATTCTTCATCTCTGTTTCTTCTCGCCATTCCTAGTGGCATAAATGGTGGTTGATGGTGTTCGGAAATGGTGTGGGTTGACAGATGAGTATTACTATTAGGTTGGAGAAAGAGGGAATAACGTCTTGTTTTTAGAGGATAAAGCAACGAACACTGGCGGAGGATGGTGTTTTGTTTGGAGAGGCGGAGGCTTGGAAGGGATCGAGCCTTGGTGATTCCTACCTCTGTGTCTCCGGTGGCAAACATCCATAACCCACATACGCCTTCGAATCATAGTCCGGTTACCGACCCGAGAGAGAGAGAGAGAGAGAGAGAGAGAGAGAGAGAGAGCGCAGAAGAGGACGGAGAAGGGCCGACTGGTTGATACAACCGTCGAGCCCTCTTGTCTCTCCATGGTTGTGTTTGCCGGAGGAAGGTAGAAGAAGAAAGGTAAAGATCGAGATATAGGAGAAGAAAATTAAACCTGGTTTTCGACAATTGGGTCGGGTATTTTTTTATAGTTTTGTTTTGCTGTATTGTTGTTGATTAGGCAGTCAAATTGCATGACTCACTCAGCCTTTCTGTCAGTCCAGTAAAAACTTCTGTTTACCACGTCATCAAAAATCTGACGGTGTTAACGGAATCTGACAGAGGCTAACGGTCGGTGACTAATAGTGAAACGAATTGTAAAGTTAGTGGCTAATATGAAATAAAAGTAATTTGAGTGGCAAACGTGAAATATTTATATAATTTGAGTGACCAAACGTGTAATTTAGCCATGTTATGTTATTGCTTAATGAGAAAACCTCACCAATGCAAAATATATAAGCCGATAAATTCCCTACAACTACCCATAATAATACCTCATGCCTAAAAAACGTCTTCCCAATACCCTCAAATAGCATCCAGAATCCATAAAATGGAGATAAATGAAAAATGAGTCCAAAATAGCGAAAAAGACTATAATTTATGTTTCTAACAATCCACCCTCCTTGAGACCAACCATGCCCTCAAGGTTGGCTCTCTTTCTCCTCTGGCTTGTTAGCGTCCTCCCACTTGCCAACCAGCAGCATTAGATGGCCCAGGGCACAATGATGCCCCACGGTGTACCTCTCATCATAGTTGAAGCAGAGTCCATCACTACGCTTCTGCTCCATCTCGGCCGATGTCAACTTCACAAATCCCTTCGGCGGTAGTCGAGCTGGAATGTGCCCTCCTGGTGGGACTTTCATGGTCACTAGGTTTGTATTTCCCAGAGCTGAGGTGGTTGCGGGTGGACTCCCTAAGGCTGTCGCCGAGTTTGGTCCTCCTCTAGACCTTCTTTCTCCCTTATGGAATCACCCCAAACTCCCCTTTCACCTAGCTAGCTCCTCCTCCTTGCGACTTGCAGAGAGTCAGGCTTGAAAACCTTGACGGAGGCTGCCAATTCATGTGGTAGGCCTCCCATGCACAACCCTACTAGAATTTCCTCTGCCATTCACCAGCACTGGTTTCCTAAATTTAGGAACTCATATCGATACTCTGCCAAATTTCCCGTCTGCTTCAACTTCGCCAAATGCTATGGCGCCCTTCCTTATGCCTTACCGAACTAGTACTTGAGGTCTTCCTGAAAACATCGGCTAGGTGGTCACTATCTCCACGGTGGCATAAGAGCACTCCATCCACTCCCACCATTGTAGGGCCTTCCCCTTCATATAGAAAGAAGCCAGTTGCACCTTAATCTCTTCCTTGGCTAGATTGTTTCTAAACCACCTCTCCATCGCATATAACCATAGACACAAGGCGTCATGACCATCAAATTTTGGAACTCAATAACAGGACACTTGGGCATAAACACGATATCATCATCCATATCATACAAGGGGGTTGTAACCTTCATACCTGCCCATGCCTTGCCGAAAGTGACCTGGTCCACCTCCACAGTCTCGCCCACTATCGAACATGGATGGTTGAGGGAAAAACTAGCCGCCTCCCTCTTTCATGTACTCATCAATGTTTGCCGAGTTAATTTCGGACCCCTATCCCTGCTCCAACGATCGGGCGCCTTTGCCATGCTTCACACTTTGTGTCACTGAGGGAGGGTACCCTAGCTTGGAGGTCCAATTGTATGTAGCTCCCTCATCCCAGCATGCGACATCCACTATTGCTATATTATGTGGTCTGAATCAGGTCGGTTCGATCCGGATCTATCTAGTTTCAACCATTCCCGGTTCACCCAATTCTGGGTTGATCGATGATAATTGTCGAAAACATATTAATTTTGTGTTCTTAATGTGACTATTTCATTATATGTTTGAGACATATTATGGCTAGTTTTATGGCTCACTAACCCTGGAATGGTTATAAGACCATTACCACCATGTGCTGCAATTTTGGCATGATTAGGTGGAAAAAAAGAAAGAGTATGGATGCAAAGGCAAATTGGAGAAGAAGCATAACATCTTATTTCTTTCCTAGGACGAACAGACTGAAGAGAGCAGGGTTACATTCTTGGATTTAAATGGATCAGGTTCATTTTCCTTTAGTGGACTAATAAAGGACTTTTTGCTTTTGGTGGAATTCCGGGGAAGAAGCAAAGTACTGGGAAGGGAATTAATTGGCCCAGTAAAGTTTGGACCGGGAGAAAGCTTTTGCGAGTGGACCGGAATCAAGAGGAAAGAACGAAAGGAGGGGGATTTATTTGGACCAGAGTGGGAATTAGTTAAAGGGGACGCAAAAAGCAGCAGCGCAGGACTAGCGAGCAAACGAGGACAGCGCGGAACAACAGCAGCGGAGAGAGAAGAATTCTTTGGCAAAGGTATTGGCGATTGGCGAACGAGCGGAGAGAAGCAGCTATTGCGGCGATCGCTAGTAGCGGGGAAGAAAATCTTAGTTTTCTTTTCTTTTTGTTTTGATTCGTGACATGATGATTATGAACATGATTATATTTTTTATTTTCGTCATGAACTAAACTCCAATTTCTGGGGGAAACACAATAGGATATAGCTATTTTTAGATTTAATGGATTGATTCATATTTCTCTTCTTCCAATCTCTATTACATGGAATTGCTTAATGCTTTGTGTTGACTAGCCACCAATACAATGATTTGTAGTTAATTAGGTTATTAGCGACAGTGAAACCCTATTAACTCAATCTATTTCATGTGACATAGTAACTCATCGAAGCGACAGTGGGTTAAATAAGGTACTATGCGGTCTTGATTGGGATATCGGTCTTCAAGCTAAATAATTAACTCAATGAGCTACGACAGTATGATTTGATTTAATTGTTTAGTACGTAGTAATTACTGACAGGGATAGCTAGCACAGTAGAGATATCCTGCTGTAGAGATATGGATTAAACTGATTGGAATATGTGAATTAATTTTGATATGATAGATAGTGAGTCCCAGTGTTTTTCCCAGAGCTTTCTCCACTGAATTTTTCCCGTCAACTTTAATTTGCTTGTTTTGTTTAATTATTTTGCTGTTAGAGAATAATTATTCTCTCAAACCATTTTCACTTGTAGTTTGCTCCATATAATTGATATAATATAAGGTTGTACCAGTTCCTGAGAGACGATACCTGGACTTTCCGGTTTTACTACAAGATAGGAATTGAAGCATTACGCTTTTGCCCTATCAATCGATCAATTTGGGGCGGACCCATCTACTCTATCTCATGTCCGAAACCAAGCCCTTATCCGCCCCAGGTGGAACAGTGTCGACCCATGTCCCTTTTTGGCCCGCTGGATTGAGCTCGTCATCCTCCCATGGCCGATTTGGGCCTAGTTGGCGTAGTCCTCCTCACGCGGCATCGAATCCTCCCACCAAATCTATAAAATAGAGATAAACGACAATTGAGTCCAAAATAGCAAAAAATGATAGAATTTATGTTTCTAACAAAGCATGTAAAGCCTCCAATCTTCTTCCCATGAGAGATGTGATAGCAAACATGATCGGACTGAGGAATGGAGTTTAGATAGAGATTCATGGATTTCCTTGACATGATAGCAAGTTGAGAAGAGTAACAATGAACGTCATATTTTAATAGTAAGTTGTTCTATTGTAGTTGACTTACCTTCGACATCATCGACCCTTGGAGGTGGTGGTGAAGGAGGCGGAAAAGAGAATGTTGCACTTTGATACGAGCACAGAATTGGTGCACGTAGTTATCAAAGCCGCACAGCTAAAAACAATGGTTATGATCAGCGATAAAACAAAATTGAAATGCAATCTCACACCTACAAGAAGGCTCTATCAATATATGGTAGAATTTTGGTCACAATCAAGAGAAATATTCGACTGATACAAAACAAAATTTACATGACCGACAGACACTCTTTCATGTTTTCTATCAGGGGCCTCTCTTTTTCTTTTCCCAGTCACCACCCTATGATCCCCGGTCGGGGAATTTGGCCCCGTGATCGGGGGGAATCACATCACACTTGCACATTTTGTCTTCTTGTTTCGGTTCGTAGGAGCAAGGATGTTTCATTTCCAGTTTTTGTTTCTTGTACTTCTCTTTTTTATTGGCCTTTAAATAATAAAATGATGGTATCATAATAAAAATAGAAATAAATGAGGCGGGAAAGAGGAGGATTCGAGGGATAATTTATAGTATGCACACAATACCATTCTTTCTAGTTAAGGAAGGTCCTACCTTTGCTCATCAATCTTAATCAATATGCCTTAAATAAAAGTAGATTAATTAGTGATAATATTTTAGCTCATGACACGGTGAAACTGTATAACAAAAAGGATGTTTCTCCGAGGTGTTCATTGAAAGTTGACATCATGAAAGCTTTCGATGGTGTTGACTGAGGTTTCTAGATTATGTTATGGCAGGCATGGGTTTCCCTTAAAAAACAATTAGGTTGGATTAGAGCTTGTCTAGTCAGTACAAACTTGAGTGTCAAATTCAATAGGGGCCTCTATGGGTATTTTTCAGCAAAGAAGGGACTGAGGCAAGGGGATCCACTATCCCCTTACCTCTTTGCCATCACCATGGAAACCATATCTTTCATGCTAAATAGGTATTGTTAATGAAGGCTCCACCTCCTCACCATCAAACCCACAGAATATGACTATCTCACCTCTGTTTCACTGATGATCTACTGATCTTCATGAAAGGATCCTGTGAGGCAGTTGAAGTGACAGATGGAATACTAAATCTATTATATGACATTTGTGGTCTAAGGTGTAATCCTGAAAAGACAGAGGTTTTCTATGATGGTGTGGATATCAGTGTTCATAATAAGATTTAGTCAAAAAATGGGTTCCATGTATTGTAAAGCTAAAAAGTACGATACCTGGGGTTACCTTTGATTGGTGGGAAATGGAATGTTAGGGCCTGTCAGGCACTAGTAGATAAATTCACAACTAGGATAAGAGGTTGGCGGGTGAGGGCTCTATCCTATGCAGGGAAGTTGCTGTTGATTTCTTTTGTCATATCTAGCATTTTCCAGTATTGGATGAGTATAATACATTTGTCTGTGAAGGTGCTAAGGAATGGTGGAAAGAGCATGTGTTGATTTTTTGTGGAGTGTAGAGGAGGAGGGGAAGAAAGTAAAAATACACTGGTCGTTTGTAGCTTTACGAGAGAAGGAGAGTGGACTGGGGTTTAGAGATCTCAGAAGTTGGAATATGCCTTGTCTCACACATCATCTCTGGGCTATTTGTTCCAACACATCATCTCTTTGTTCAACTTGGGTTCGAAACAACTATCTCAATTATACAATCATTTGGGACATCTCCTCTTCCATTTATTGTTTGTGGGCCTGGAGGAAAGTTATGACTATAGCAGCTGGACACCTTCATGTTTGATATGGTGAGGTTTCTGGGATGGGGTGAAGTTGGAGACCTACTATGTGAAGAAATTATGGGAAACTATAAGACAAAAACAAGCAAAAGTTTTGTGGTATAATCTGGAATGGAATTTAGGGTGCCCTCAACGTGATCAACGGATAGTGTGGTTAATCATTCACAATAGGATCACCAAAATAGATAAAATTCATAGATGGAACCCTTCTGTTCCCTATCTCTGTCCATTTTGCAGTTCTACAGCTGAGTTCAGATATCATCTTTCCTTCTCAATCTCTTTCTCTACTAGTATACTTAAGGCAATGTTTAATTACTTAAGATTATCTGTTGGGAGTTAGTTTGATTTCGTATCAATGGCAGTAACTCAGTTTAAGGCAGATGATCCAAGTTCACATCGGGGTAGGCTACAATTAATGATTGTTGTCAGCAATTTATGGCGTGAAAGGTGTCAAAGACTGTATGCAGGTACCAAACTCAATGATGGGCAGTTGCTAGGGGTGGCTATTTGGTCTGGATTTTTTTGTTGAACCGGAGACCGATCCGTAAAATCCGGACTAGGACCGGATCGGAACCGGGTAAGGGTGCAACCAGTTTAGTCTTTAGTAAGATTTTAGAGATAAAAAATCGTCACAATCCAGGCCTAGCTTACCCATTTTATCTAGATACCGGATAAGAGGCAAGATCTATCATAGCAAAGCAAAGCTAAGCCAAGCCCAAACCAGAATTCCTTCCTCCGCCCCTTCCCAAACCTCATCCTCCAATCCCTTCCTTCCTCCCCTCCTCGGCCGCTCCGCTTCCTGTTCTTCCATGTGTACAAAACAGACACCTTAATATCATATATGTTTGGTTCTATGCAAGAGATAAATGAAGGTATGGATCTAGAGGGATGGAGATTGATGAGTGTTTTGATGGATTGAAGGGGTCGAGCTGTCAAGGAGATGGGTAGGGGAGGGAAGGGAGTTGTGGTGGTCTTCTGAATGAGACAAAGCAGAAGAAGATTGGATAGGGAAAAAGAAGAAGGGAAATGAGGGAAGAGAAAGAGAGAGCGAGTGGGTCACCGATGAAGTGGTGCGACATCGTTTTGTTGGGAGGAGCAAATCCAATTTTTATGTTAAAACCAGATTGGGATTGGGACTGGATAGACTAGGCGCGGATTAAAACCAGACTCTATTCAATTCCGTCTTTTGTCCCCATATTTTCAAAAACACCAGACCGAGACCGGATCAATCTGAGACCGTTTAACCTGTTGGGAGAAAAGTCTACTGATTTTATTTCATCAAAAAGGTAAAGTTACACTGTTCTGATTTTACATTATATATAAGTTCTATCTAACAAATAACAAAGCAATACATAAACATAAACAAATATTACAATGTAGTCCTCAAACTAAACATAGTTTACAATATAGTTCAACACCCCCCCTCAAGCTGGAGCATGGATATCAAGAATGCCCAGCTTGGCCTGCAAAACCGAGAAAACTGCAGTAGGCAAAGACTTGGTAAACAA